TTATCTATTTAGCCCCATTTTCCTGCCTTTTCCCCATAACCTTTTTTTATTTTTCCTTTTCAACTATTCGTCTAATTCCCTTTTAAAAACTATAACGGATTTTTTTTATTACCCTCCATTTTTGGCAGGGTATTCAATGTCATAATAACCCTCTGCGTAAAAACAATTCTGACGTATTTTGTTTTGCTTTAACGATTTTACGTTGATGGTGTCCAGGCACTAACTCAGAGATCGGTGAAATGTTATTTTTTATAAGCAGAGCCTCTAATCCTTGCTATCACCTCATGGACGTCCTCTGGCTTCTCTTTTCTATCTGTTCAGGTGGACGTGAAAGGTCTCGCATCGCTGCTCAAAAAGAGAAGGGAGTTTCTTCCGAGATCCTGACCAACAATCCACCCCAGAAAAAAATTATATTCAGCCTGTGGCTGTTTGTGGGATTCCTCTGCGCTCAAATTGGCTGCCGCTTTTGTCCTTAAATACACATTTTACAGTGTATCCTGTGAAAGGAGCACTTTAGAAACAACCTCCTGATATGATAAAGCGCTCTATCAAATGCAAGGATTATTACTGTATTAGTAGGGTAGTTAGGGTGACTATACATTCTCGATTTCCATGGACAGTCCCTGGAAGAAGTATTGTGTCCGTGGCCAAATTTGCTATGCGTTGAGTTCAGCAACAAAGCAAGCAAAAACAATTACATTCTAAAACAGATACACTCCAGAGAAATAGACTCATGAATCCAACAAGCTTCTCCTGTACTCCCTCCTTCCTCTACGACTTCCTAATCCCTTACCAACCTCCCCCTCCACTCAGCGGGAGTGCTGCTTCACGTCCCCTGACTCACCCGCACCACAATTGTCAGCCACTCTGCCTCCACCCTCTGGAACTCCATCCCGCAGTCCCTCCGCCTCGCCCCCTCCCTTACCTCCTTCATGACCTGTCTCAAGAGCTTCTTCGACCATGCCTTTGATCACCCTCCGTCCCCCCACCCTCCCCAATCCCAGCTCCCCAATCCCAGCCCCCCCACCCTCCCCAATCACAGCCCCCCCCACCCTCCCCAATCACAGCTCCCCAATCCCAGCCCCCCCCTATCCTCCCCAATCCCAGCCCCCCCCTACCCTCCCCAATCCCAGCCCCCCCACCCTCCCCAATCACAGCCCCCCCCCCAATCCCAGCCCCCCCCCCCCCCACCCTCCCCAATCCAGCCCCCCCCCACCCTCCCCAATCCCAGCCCCCCCCACCCTCCCCAATCACAGCCCCCCCCCCAACCCTCCCCAATCACAGCTCCCCAATCCCAGCCCCCCCTACCGTCCCCAATCCCAGCCCCCCCCACCCTCCCCAATCCCAGCCCCCCCACCCTCCTCAATCCCAGCCCCCCCACCCTCCCCCCCAATCCCAGCCCCCCCACCCTCCTCCCCAATCCCAGCCCCCCCACCCTCCCCAATCCAGCCCCCCCCCCCACCCTCCCCAATCACAGCCCCCCCCAACCCTCCCCAATCACAGCTCCCAATCCCAGCCCCCCCCACCCTCCCCAATCCCAGCCCCCCCACCCTCCCCCCCAATCCCAGCCCCCCCCCCTCCCTCCCCAATCCCAGCCCCCCCCACCCTCCCTCCCCAATCCCAGCCCTCCCCCACCCTCCCTCCCAATCCCAGCCCCCCCCACCCTCCCTCCCCAATCCCAGCCCCCCCACCCTCCCTCCCCAATCCCAGCCCCCCCACCCTCCCCAATCCCAGCCCCCCCCACCTTCCCCAATCCCAGCCCCCCCGTTCGGGTCCAAAACACTGATGGTCCAGCACCTTGGGAAAGGCGCTATACAAATGTAATTTTGTTGTCGGTGTTGCTGTGCCGTCAGCATCAAGAATTGTGGTGAGTTCAGTTTTTTTAAGTTTCTCGAGATTTGGTTTACAAAAAGATGATCACCCCACAACCGCAATAAATTGCATTTTTTGGGCGGTCTGAGCCCACCACCATGCTCAAGAGTACCCAAACCAAGCTGTGATTTCCACGCATCCCAAATACCCGTGGAAAACCCATGGTCGTTCTCTGGCTGTGTGTATCTCTCTTTCTCTCTGCACTGTGTGTGTCACTCTCTCTCTGGACTGTGTGTGTGTGTCACTCTCTCTGGCTGTGTGTGTGTGTCACTCTCTCTATCTCTATGTGTGTGTCACTCTCTATCTCTCTCTGAGTGTATGTGTGTGTCACTCTCTCTATCTCTCTGATTGTGTGTGTGTCAATCTCTCTATCCCTCTCTGGCTGTGTGTGTGTCACTCTCTCTGTCCCTCTCTGGCTGTGTGTGTCACTCTCTGTCCCTCTCTGGCTGTGTGTGTGTGTCACTCTCTCTGGCTGTGGTGGTGTGTGTGTGTGTCACTCTCTCTGTCCCTCTCTGGCTGTGGTGGTGGTGTGTGTGTGTGTCACTCTCTCTGTCCCTCTCTGGCTGTGGTGGTGTGTGTGTGTGTCACTCTCTCTGTCCCTCTCTGGCTGTGGTGGTGTGTGTGTGTGTGTCACTCTCTCTGTCCCTCTCTGGCTGTGGTGGTGTGTGTGTGTGTGTCACTCTCTCTGTCCCTCTCTGGGGGTGTGTCACTCTCTCTGTCCCTCTCTAGCTGTGGTGGGTGTGTGTGTGTCACTCTCTCTGTCCCTCTTTGGCTGTGGTGGTGTGTGTGTGTGTGTGTCACTCTCTCTGTCCCTCTCTGGCTGTGGTGGTGGTGGTGGTGGTGTGTGTGTGTCTGTCACTCTCTCTGTCCCTCTCTGGCCGTGGTGGTGTGTGTGTGTCACTCTCTCTGTCCCTCTCTGGCTGTGGTGGTGGTGGTGTGTGTGTGTCTGTCACTCTCTCTGTCCCTCTCTGGCCGTGGTGGTGTGTGTGTGTGTCACTCTCTCTGTCCCTCTCTGGCTGTGGTGGTGTGTGTGTGTGTGTCACTCTCTCTGTCCCTCTCTGGCTGTGTGTGTGTGTGTCACTCTCTCTGTCCCTCTCTGGGGGTGTGTGTGTGTCACTCTCTCTGTCCCTCTCTGGCTGTGGTGGGTGTGTGTGTGTCACTCTCTCTGTCCCTCTCTGGCTGTGGTGGTGTGTGTGTGTGTGTCACTCTCTCTGTCCCTCTCTGGCTGTGGTGGTGGTGGTGGTGGTGTGTGTGTGTCTGTCACTCTCTCTGTCCCTCTCTGGCCGTGGTGGTGTGTGTGTGTCACTCTCTCTGTCCCTCTCTGGCTGTGGTGGTGGTGGTGAGTGTGTGTCACTCTCTCTGTCCCTCTCTGGCTGTGGTGGTGGTGGTGTGTGTGTCACTCTCTCTGTCCCTCTCTGGCTGTGGTGGTGGTGGTGTGTGTGTGTGACTCTCTCTGTCCCTCTCTGGCTGTGGTGGTGTGTGTGTGTGTGTCACTCTCTCTGTCCCTCTCTGGCTGTGGTGGTGGTGGTGGTGTGTGTGTGTCACTCTCTCTGTCCCTCTCTGGCTGTGGTGGTGGTGTGTGTGTGTGTCACTCTCTCTGTCCCTCTCTGGGTGTGTGTGTGTGTGTGACTCTCTGTCCCTCTCTGGGTGTGTGTGTGTGTGTGTGTGTGTCACTCTCTCTGTCCCTCTCTGGCTGTGGTGGTGGTGGTGTGTGTGTCACTCTCTCTGTCCCTCTCTGGCTGTGGTGGTGGTGGTGTGTGTGTGTGTCACTCTCTGTCCCTCTCTGGCTGTGGTGTGTGTGTCACTCTCTCTGTCCCTCTCTGGCTGTGGTGGTGGTGGTGGTGTGTGTGTGTGTGTGTCACTCTCTCTGTCCCTCTCTGGCTGTGGTGGTGGTGGTGTGTGTGTGTGTCACTCTCTCTGTCCCTCTCTGGCTGTGGTGGTGTGTGTGTGTGTCACTCTCTCTGTCCCTCTCTGGCTGTGGTGGTGGTGGTGTGTGTGTCACTCTCTCTGTCCCTCTCTGGGTGTGTGTGTGTGTGTGTGTCACTCTCTCTGTCCCTCTCTGGCTGTGGTGGTGTGTGTGTGTGTGTCACTCTCTCTGTCCCTCTCTGGCTGTGGTGGTGTGTGTGTGTGTGTCACTCTCTCTGTCCCTCTCTGGCTGTGGTGGTGTTGTGTGTGTGTCACTCTCTCTGTCCCTCTCTGGGTGTGTGTGTGTGTGTGTGTCACTCTCTCTGTCCCTCTCTGGCTGTGGTGGTGTGTGTGTGTGTGTCACTCTCTCTGTCCCTCTCTGGCTGTGGTGGTGGTGTGTGTGTGTGTCACTCTCTCTGTCCCTCTCTGGGTGTGGTGGTGCTGTGTGTGTGTGTGTCACTCTCTCTGTCCCTCTCTGGCTGTGGTGGTGGTGGTGTGTGTGTCACTCTCTCTGTCCCTCTCTGGGTGTGTGTGTGTGTGTGTGTCACTCTCTCTGTCCCTCTCTGGCTGTGGTGGTGTGTGTGTGTGTGTCACTCTCTCTGTCCCTCTCTGGCTGTGGTGGTGTGTGTGTGTGTGTCACTCTCTCTGTCCCTCTCTGGCTGTGGTGGTGTTGTGTGTGTGTCACTCTCTCTGTCCCTCTCTGGCTGTGGTGGTGTGTGTGTGTGTGTCACTCTCTCTGTCCCTCTCTGGCTGTGGTGGTGGTGGTGTGTGTGTCACTCTCTCTGTCCCTCTCTGGGTGTGTGTGTGTGTGTGTGTCACTCTCTCTGTCCCTCTCTGGCTGTGGTGGTGTGTGTGTGTGTGTCACTCTCTCTGTCCCTCTCTGGCTGTGGTGGTGTGTGTGTGTGTGTCACTCTCTCTGTCCCTCTCTGGCTGTGGTGGTGTTGTGTGTGTGTCACTCTCTCTGTCCCTCTCTGGCTGTGGTGGTGTGTGTGTGTGTGTCACTCTCTCTGTCCCTCTCTGGCTGTGGTGGTGTGTGTGTGTCACTCTCTCTGTCCCTCTCTGGCTGTGGTGGTGTGTGTGTGTGTGTCACTCTCTCTGTCCCTCTCTGGCTGTGGTGGTGGTGGTGTGTGTGAGTGTGTGTCCATTTCCCCCCATCGGCCGCCAGGTGGCGTGCGTTGTGCCCGGCGCGCATGCGCACCGAGCTGCCCGCCGGAGAGCCGGCGAGCGAGCCGTACGCATGCGCGGGCGGCAGTGATGGTGGCTCGGGGAAGCCCATGAGGAGCGGCGCGAGCGAGACCTACAGCCATGGCCGGGGTGTTCGACATCGACCTGGACCCCGAGTACCAGCAGGAGGAGGCCGTCTCTGACGAGGAGCTGGAGGGGGTAAGGCAGCCCGGGGGCGGGGGGGGAGGAGAGAGAGAGAGAGGGGCCGGGGACCCGGAGCTGCCGGCGGCCGAGAGAGAGGCCTGTGGAGCAAGGCCTCGGGGAGGCCACACACCGGAGCCTCCCGCCTCCCGCCTCGCCTCACCGGCCCCGCTCCCCCCCCGGGCCGAGAGCGCTCGGTTACCGGCAGCCACGGCAGCAGCTTCCGATACCACCGCCCGGTGGGGTGTGTGGGGGGAGAGTCGGGCGGGTGGAGCCCGGGACGGCCGCCGTGTCTGCGTGGCACGTTCTGCTCGTTCGTTCGTTCGTTCGGCGGCGGCGGCGGCTGTTACCGAAATTACTTCACGGGGGGCGGGAGGGGGGGGGGAGGGGGAGGGGAGGCGGGACCGGGGGGTGGAGGGGAGAGGTGCGGGAGGAGGGGGAGGGGGGCAGCGGCCGACTGTAAAACCAGCGGGAAGCGGGGGGTGAAGGAGCTTTTTATCGTCAGTGAGTGAGTGAGTGAGAGCTGAGGAGGAGCAGCCGCTGTGTGTGTGTGTGTGTGTGTGTGGGAGGGGGGATTGAGCAAGTTTGCTTCCCCTCTCTCCTCTCCCCCTTCTTCCTCTTTCCCCCCTCTCCCCCTTCTTCTTCCTCTCCTCTCCCCCTTCTTCCTCTTTCCCCCCTCTCCCCCTTCTTCTTCCTCTCCTCTCCCCCTTCTTCCTCCTCTCCTCTCCCCCTTCTTCTTCCTCTCCTCTCCTCTCCCCCTTCTTCTTCCTCTCCTCTCCTCTCCCCCTTCTTCTTCCTCTCCTCTCCTCTCCCCCTTCCTCCTCTCCTCCCTTCATCCCCTCTCCTCTCACTCCTTTCCCCCCCCGCGCCACCTTAAATTTATTCACGAAACTGCTGCGTTAAATGAGTTTTTTTTTCACTCTGGTGTTTGATTGTGTGGGGGGGGGAGGTGATGTGTGTGTGTGGGGTGATGTGTGTGTGTGGTGTGTGGGGTGGTGTGTGTGTGTGTGGGGGGGGGATGGTGTGTGGGGGGGATGGTGTGTGTGTGGGGTGGTGTGTGTGTGGGGTGGTGTGTGTGTGTGTGTGGGGGGGGTGGTGTGTGGGGTGGTGTGTGGGTGGTGTGTGTGTGTGGGGTGGTGTGTGTGTGTGGGGTGGTGTGTGTGTGTGGGAGGTGGTGTGTGTGTGGGGGGGGTGTGGTGGTGGGTGTGGGGGTGTGTGTGTGTGTGTGGGGGGTGGTGTGTGGGGTGATGTGTGTGTGTGGGGGGGGGGTGTGGGGGTGTGTGTGTGGGGGTTGTGTGTGTGTGTGTGGGGGGGGGGGGGGGTGGTGGTGTGTGTGGGGGGGTGGTGGTGTGTGTCCACGAGTGCGTTGGGGAGGAGACAGGGAATCCTCTGTGTGGGGTTGAGCAAGTTTCCCTCTTCCCCCCCCACCTTAAATTATTCAGTAAACTGCTGTATAAGCCCTGCTCCCTGATTGCTACGCGCTGTCTTGTTCCCTTGCGGTTCTTCCCTTTGCAGCATTTGTTAAAGTTGGCGCCGGCTCATTTTTGCTGCAGTTCAGGAAAAAAAAGTCCTTGCCTCACCAGCCCCACCAACGCATACACAGACACATACAGAGACAGATACACACAAATACACTCCATATCCCTGCATCCCACCAGCGCGGCCTCGAGTCCTGGAGAGTAATCCACTAAACACGGTGCCAGTTGACCTCTCAGATTGCTCTGCCATTAGCTTCTTGGCTAGGGCAAATTTTCAAAGCTGTCCTGTTGAGTTGTCAACAAGGTTGTCAAAAAAAAATTGTAGCTTGCAGACAGCCCTACAAAAATATGATCAGTCCAGGGAGGGAGGAGAAGATTGGCGTCCATTCACTTGGCTGCCCTGTCCATCTTCCGGTGTCTTGTCTGGTCAGAGGAAGACAGCATTGAAAACGTGATAAGGCGCTGTAATCAAATGCAAAGATTATTATTATATTATCCAGGAGTGGAAAGACTAAAGGTGGTAATCTTACAAACAAAACGGCCCACTCATCTGCTCTTGATGGCGGGTGTCTAATACATGCAATGGTCTTAAGGTCATTTATGTCATGCACAGTATGGCCATCAGCGATAAGTATTTAGAATTGGGGCTTTGCGGTGGTACTCCAGTTGCTGTCTGACCTCTTTCTGAAATTGCTTTTGACTCGCCAAAATCCAAAATGTCATCTGTCATGGGAATATCAAGAGCAAAGCAATAGTTAGTTTATGCAGGTGAATTTATAAATAGTGTACCTGGTAGCAGAAATTTTAACCATAAGGTGACACTTTCACCTTTTAGTTAATAATCATCTAAATGCAAGAATTGTTATCTTCACATGCAATTAAAGTATTACTTTGATATTAAAGTTATTTGCAAGCAGTAGTTGTTTGAAGTTACATGATCTTTAAACCTCATTAATTAAGTGATCTCTGTTGAATTTTAGTGTTAAAATGCCCCCAGTGATTAGTGATGAGTTCTATTGATGAGCCTGATCTGCGACAGACGAATAAAGATTATGCTATTAATTTAACCAACAATTCCTCTGACAGATTCCACGCCCTTTTTTATTACCAGGTGTGGATTATTTAAAAATTAAAAATAAAATGGAAATCTGTGTTTGAATTAACACCTTTACCTGTGTTTATATTAACAGCATTATGTACTTAATATTTAATATGGTAATGCTAGAACCAATTGAGATTAAAATATTGAAACTTTCTTGTGATCCCACAGTGATCATTAGGTGTTTTTGCATTTTAAACTTTTTATTTGTATTTCATTCTCGAGTAATAGCCTTAAAATTTCTATTAAAAATTAAGCGCTCTGAGACCCTACCTGTATGAAGGGAGCTACAGTATCTAAATGTAAGTTGTTGTTGCTTAAATGTTATTGCTATAATTTTATTTCATATCTTCCCTCTTACCACAAAGGCAAATCCAGGTCACTGACTTGAGAGTCGCATTAGGGAAAGTTATTAATTTAAAATCTGTTTTTTTGATGCATGTTATGTTGGGATTACACTTAATGTGACCCTCAGAACAGTTGTCCATCCTTTTCCCTGTTCTTGGCTTTAAGATGCTCTGAGATTATCCCATATCAATCAGTCATCACTGAAGTTATGCATTTACTTTTTAAGAAATATTAGCTGCACGACAAAAATACATTTCTACAAATCCCCATTTCTACATTTTAAGCCAATGGTTATTGTTTCAATTCACATGCGCTAAATCAAAAAGCCTACTTGCATTGACTTCTGCATTGTTTGTGCTGTTTGGAAATTGTCAGAGACTTAGATTTATTGGGCTGCTTTAGAATCTTTCATCTTACAAAGTCTTTCAGGTGAAACAGTTCAGTTGATTCCAATTGCAGTGTTTCCTAATGTGCGAAAAGTTCAATATAGTATAGCTTAAAAGTTGACCACCAATTGTGCTTATTCAGTCATTCAAATATGTCTAATAGCAAACAGAACCTCCACAGAATAGCAAATGAGGTCTGCAATAATATTTGAAGCTGAAAATTGGTGGAATATGCAGGGTCCACTAATGTTGGGACAGTTTTGTAGCTGAAATATTATACCAAATTACAGTGAATTATGACTATTGGGATTTAGATAAATGAGATCCACTTTAATTTATTGGATTTGCATTTTTAAAAGGGTTCCAGGTGTTTTTAAAGTATTCTGATGATATGACTTGCTCTCCAATAAAAAAAATATTGCGTCTCTCTATTAATGCCTCTTGTACTCAACGGGTGCTCCGGTGGTACAGCACAAATATGTTGCATTGTTGAGTAATGGGACACACTTTTTTGCCTGTTGTCCTCTATGTGATGAGTTTCCCAATCTGAGGTGTACTGCAGAGAGAGAAGAACTGATCAAATGTTAGTAATTACTCAAGGGGGGAGAAAGCATGGATCACAAGGAGATCCAGCCTGGTCTTGTAACGTATATCATCGGCAGACATGGGGTAAACTTCCACATGTATGCAGGTGATACACAAATTTACTTTTCCAGCTGCGACTCCAGGTCTGCCGACGTTTTGTCTGACAGACATCAGGACTTGGGTGAGCATAAACTTCTTGCAGCCAAATATCGACAAGACGGAAGCCAAACTCCTTGGTTTGTAAGTAAGAGACATGACTTGGTTTTAGATATTGATTTGTGCCGACTACTCAAAACGGAAAACTTTAGGTCTTTAATGGGAAGCAGTTACCCTGTGATTACCTTTGTTGGTGAAGTTTCAGTGTTCTCTGAGATAGATGTCAAAATGTTCAATTCAAAGTATACTCACCCCAGAATAAAGTGGAAATTATTCTCTTCTATTTGTGCCAGCTAATCATTTTGTGAATTTTTAAAATGTAACTGTTCAGAGGGATATTTGTGGAGCAGCATTTTGGCATTGGAATGAGATGAACCCTCTCCCCTTTGCTTTGCTCTTGTGAGGTCTATTCTGAAATACAGTTGAGACTTCAAACATCATACTGATTGTGGAAAATAGTTTCAAAGTTCATGATACGCTCCAATATAAAGTTATTCACTCAGATAGAAGTTTGTTCCTCTGAGATATTTTCAGCTTAAAACTGGTTAGGAAAGTGGTACTTGAGTTGTCTGTAGTGTCCATGTAAGTAAGGATATTGTACAATATCCTTGGACTAATATTCATGTGTGTTTTCTTTTGTTTCCCTCTTTCACATTGGGCAATATATTAAAAAATGCATGAAATTATAGGTCTCAGTGTTGCAATCAACTCAGTGTTAATTTTCCCTCTGTGTGCGATAGCATCTGGATGTAAATTGCTCCACTTTTTAATGGTGGTTAACTTGNTTTTTTAAGGTTGGTTCCCTGATATTTTCAACAATGAATCACAGTATTGTCCCTCTGTGTATAAGGCACAATCAATCCTCTTCCCAAGAGCTGTGGGTTCTAACCATTCATTTCAGACATTTATTTGAAGTAACCATTTGAAAGGGAGAGAAAGCCCTGAATGTTTAGATATGGTCTAGGG